GTTAACCAATAAATTATTCTGCAATTGCTTTAACTCAATTACACGTGTCTCGGGCTCGTAATTACGAGGCGTAAGTTATTCCGTGTAATCGGGTTAGGCGCCATTCGATTAGCCAGTTTCCGTTGGCATATGTGTTTCTACACTTCCGGGCGGGATTTACGAATTATGGGTTACGCTTTACACAAAAGCTTGTCACATGTCTCACGCTGAATTTCTAAAAATCATACGAGACATGTAAATTTAAAAAAAAAATAATATCCCCGTATGTTCACAAGCTACCGTATCTTTTGCGTAATAATTCAGTATCCCTCGACCATGAGATTCATCGTCTGTCATTTTTTGACATTCACTCATTTACGACATAACAGAAATATGTTTATCATACTTTGTCAAATAATATCACCATAGTAAATATCACGTCAACCATTGCGGCACTACCGTAAAATTACGAAACTTTTACGAAAACAAGAAAATCAATGATAACATGTCAGCCCGTCCTTTACAGTAATTTATCGAACTGGTAAAAATAACGGGTCGGACCAATGTTAATAATCGATCAGAAAAAAAAAGGAATTGTACCGTACAGCACAAAATGATATATTTAGCCACAGGATGATAGATTACGTATAATCAGCCCACTGTATCCCAGACAATCAACGCGCATTGAATTTCCACGTTCTACGTAAACGAAAACACCCTAATCAATTGACCATGTCGTACAAAGTCATCTCCGTATGAATGATCCACCCCTGAACCCATCTCCTGCGTATAGGTCTTCGATGCTCTTATAAAAAAAAAGCATTCAAACTATATACCCCAATTACGGATAGTAATATAATTACGGATAGTTCGCTAATCAACCCCCTAAAACCCCATAAGTATCACGTGAATGATCTATCGACTGAAATTCGGTAGCGCCTCGTCTCCATTAGGGTATCCAAAATAATTTAGCGGAATCTCGAAACACCCTTAAATCGATCGAAAATCGCATTCATTATCTACGTCCGACATATACCCTACACAAGATTCGGAGGGGGTGGTGGGGTAAACCACCCCCAAAAGTTATACGATAATACAATACCAAACTTAAGGAGCACCGACGCCATCTGAGCTTCGAGGGTTCAGGAATTTTTGCTTAATTAAAACGAACTTCTTTGATCGAGCCTGATACGTCAGAGGGGATGAAGGACAAGTAGTCCCCTACCTCCGGTTACTCACTATAAAAAGGAAGGGTCTTGCCCGCCTGTTCCCTACGGAATCTGATTGATACACGCTCGTTCGTCAACGCACGGCTAATGCGAAGCGCAATGCTGTAATTGGTGTCAGTTAACTTGGCCAGGCTCATGTTGGGGGTACCGAGGCCATCCGAGGGGTAAAAAGCACGTGGACCAAGGGGCGTGAAGAGGATCGTAGGATCAGTGTTTTTTACATCCAAAGCGATTCCCATGAGTAAATCCGTAAGAGGTAGCAGAAGATAGCTTATATTTATATATACATGTATACACATAAACACACGCCTACTACAGAGATATACAAAATACCAACTACTCACTTCCTACGGAATATAGGTTTGATATGCCAGTGGATGAATTCGCCGATAGACCAGACAAGCAAAACGGGTCGGACTTACATGAAAAAGCGACGGACACTTGACCGACAAGAGGCAAGACCAACGGGCTGGAAAACCAGACACGTTACGTCAGAGGGACGCTGTAGTACCATACATTTATGAAGGGAAATCATTTTCGTTCTCCACTCGACTTCTTTTGGCCATTGCGGCTCCGAGATTTGCTCTGCATCCCTCCGGCAGGGCCATTAGGGACGGATCTACGAAGGAGAATTACAGTGACCGAAAAAGTATTTCTCCGCCTTCGGCCGCTTGGCACCGCAAACGAGCAAGGGGGACGTCGAGTGACGAAGGAAAAGAGTCAGACAATATTTGTACCTTTCAATTTATCCGAGTAATTACACTTTATAATACCGGCTTAACCCAGGCCAGTTATTTCCCTGGAATATTTTTACCCTCGAGGGTGGTACAATAATCATCGCAATATAAACGCCTGTGAAACTGATGAAGTCACTCCGTGCGTACCGACCTCGTATTTTTCGAGCTTTGTTATCCTGTCCGAGGTTCGTTGGGTTTGTCCTGGATGCTCGGTGTAAGAGGGACGAGGGGGCGGGGATTCGACCGAAATATTTGTTTAAAGGGAAACCGAGCAGTGGCAGACGGGCTGTGCTAATGTAATATTCAGGAGTGTAGCTCGTGGTTATCCTAATTAAAATCTCCGGACACCCTACCTCTCAGAAGTCCCCTCAGCCGGCTTGGGCTCTTCTAACCTAACCCTGTAGACGCATGCGCGCACTACCATAAAATTTCTCGGTTTCGTGGAAAAGACACGCTTACAGGATTTTCAGGTTTATTTGTGACGTGTTGCATTAATTTACACACTTGCATATATATATGTATATATAATCGTGCACTGCTTTACCGTGCAGCTACACTCCCCCTACTGGTTCACTAGTACTCTCGTTAGCCAGTGTGGGATTTACGAAACGCGTGCTGGTTACGTATTTACCGGCGAGCTTCTATCGTTCGGTGCAAACTCTTATTTAAATGCTAAAACGAGCTTGCGTCCCTAATGACAAAGGCAGCCGGACAGTGAAAAAGGGTACGGTACGTGGTCGGACATAGAATGAGAAGAGATAGCGTTAAAAGAGAAAAGGTTGGCTTCCTAATAACTGAGATTGGAGGAAAAAAAATGTTGTAGCTTAATTTTAAAAAATGAATATATATGTATATGCACAATATTTTTTTCAAAATTTTTATTAACCAAAAAACCCCTGCTCATGATCAGTACTTCCTCTTAAGAACGATCTTGAGTCATCCCTTGACCATGTATCCAGATAGTGGGTTTAAGGTCCATGCTCCCTCTCATGCACCATGAGCACCTACGTGGGTCTACGTGTATCAACAGTAAAATCTCATGCGATTAATACCGAGATATCGTTGAACCCAGATAAGAATAATGGCTTCCGTTATGGTGGAACAAGAAAAAAATAAAAAATAAATGCTAATACACAAAACCCAAACAACCCGTCAGCCGTTTAATTCTCGCTTAATCGTGGCTCGTGTAACGTCCCAGCGGAATTTCCGCTGGATCTAATCTAGCACGCCTTTAATTCTCGAGCCTATTTTGAGCCTTTTGAACATTTTACATATTTCTGTCTCCGTTCTAAGGTACTTGTTTCAACGTCCCCCCCTCTCTCTCTCTCTCTCTCTCTCAGTAACTCTCTCCACTCAACCTAAGCTCTACTGTACCGACCTAGTCAATGGCTATACCCATAAACCACACGGCCAACCTGCCGTTCCACTGCTCTCCTACCACCAGCGCGGTTATCACCACGTAGATATTGAAAATTCCTCCCAGCATTCTTTCCAACTTTACCATCGAATATAAGACACCCGTAGAGCAGTGACCAGCATCCCTGGACCCACGAGCTTGAAACCATTAGCGCATGTAAAATTCCGTCTGGAACGGTGACGCACGTGTTCGTGCGTAATTATATAAATCCGACCTGCAGGACGGGGCTCGGTATTCATCAATGAGGTGAAAAATCGGAAACTTTTGAAAATTCCCATTAGCGTCCCGAGACCAACGTGAAGGGCCAATCCCAAAAAGCGCGCTCAAACGCTCGTTAAATGAGTTCGGTATACGGTATAACGTGTGACAGAGTACGGCGAGACTCGAGGGATGAGTGGGTATAAAATGAGAGGTGCAAAAAAAAAGAGCCACCCAGTGGATATCGATATCTACAGGCAGTAGCCGCCTTTTATATATTTTTAAAAATAGGTGGCACGCGACACGCTGGTCGTTGATCGCGCGAATGAAAATTCACCGAAACGAATCGACA